AATGAATGAAGTCAAGGAATTGACATGTCATATATAATGAATAAACTAGTAGTAATCACAAATTAAGAGAGTGCGTTCGACAGGTTAATCTAAAAAAATAGAGGATGGTTCTCAAGTGGTCACGAACGAACTTAGAACGTTTGCTCTCTGCTGATCAATATGAAACCTGTTGGCAGGCTTTGGCAATATGATTGGCTTGATATATTCTTTTTATTGAGAATTGTGCCAAGGAAGTATAATTTTGAAATGGTGCAATGATATTCCTGAATATATATATACACATTTAAGTTGAGTTAACCATTAAATTTTGTCAATTGCAAGTGCCCCCCTCCCCCTTTCAGTGTGATTACTTTGCTTCATGTGGTTGAAAGCTAATTGACAGTGAAGGCTGGGAGATAGCCATCCCAATAAATAACACTAATTAATAGTTATACATTAAATCATGGAGACACAAATTGCAACAGTGACATTTATTGAAATTTATTCAAAACGGTATTTAAACAATGGTGCATTATACACAATATTTAAAATTTGATAGATGTACTTTGCTTGAAAATAACTTTCTAACAAATTGGAAAAGCAGGAACTTCAGCAACTTGAATAACACAGTACATTAAGAAATAACAGCTGTATGATTTGTTCATAATATACAAAATACACCTTCCACTGTTTCCATTGTTCAGGACCTGAAAGATAGAAGTGATTTCCATTTGTACATGTATGTACCCTCTACTTATGGATTTTTACTTACATCTAAAGCTTGAGAACAGGAGTGTGTGCACGACCCATAATATTGAATTTTCCAGTTAATATATATTTGCTTGCGCTAATTTCTCTCGGTCCGATTCGGTCTTAATCTTGATTATACATAGCCTGAATCGACAGAGGAGATCGACGGCTGAAATTCTGGCTAGATTACAAATGTATACAACTTGGTAAGTTTGTTTTGAACCGAGCTGCTATGTTCATTTGCCATCGCCGAGCAAAACAACTCGATTTATTACCACAAATCACCACAAATCATACGCTGATATCTAGTACAATAACTCGGTTTGTGTTTTATTTGCTTCGGTACACAACCAGCGTGCCGATTCTTCAGCGAGGGCAAGATAGAGTATCTGCTGTGATGGAAAACAGCTGAGTTGACACATCACCGAGCTCGGGGCGAATTGCAATGTTTGTTTCTTGGAAAACACGCCACTACACAGCTTTCTGATAGTCTGATAAACAGCTTGGCTCATAGTTGCTATCGATAGTTCGAAAAAATCAACACAGCTTCACTTACCTTGGAAAAAACAGCGAAAAGATCCGTGACGCAGTTGCAAATCGAAGTGAGCAGTCGAGATTCGAGCCTGCAATCTTTTCACCCCTAAGCATACGCTAGTTACCATGCCACGAACGGTAGCATGGTTTTGAGGTTTATTTATGTGTGTAACTATGGTTACCAATTAACACGAGATCGAGGCAATCTGATCCACACCTACCAAGATGGCGCCCAAACCCTGAAATCGCATGGCATCCAGATCGATACCCGCGGGACATCATAAATGACCCGCGGGACAGTGATTTTGAAAAAACGACGCGATTAGTATGCGTTCTCCTTCGTCGACCGCAATAAGGAATCAGTCCAAGTCTCAGGTCTGTGCGGTATTCCGTACTCGAGTTATTTGTCAAAAATGTTCCACACAAATTTGTAGAGCTCAGTATGGAAACGCCAACATGGCCGCCGGAAATAGGAATAAACATCTGGAGTTCACTTTTGCCAGAAAGGAGGTTTGTTTTTTCTTGTGAACTTTCGAATATTTAGATAAATATTTCTCCTTAAACTTAAATTGTTTAGAATGCTGAAAATCACCCGAAGAGTTATGTTTTAGATACGGAACAGCTTTGTCACGGCCGTCCTGCTGATGTCACGTACGATGAAAACTCGGAAATTTAAACCGTTCTATTTTCGGTTGGAATTGCCTTAGTTTTGATTTTCTGCGCTCTGTGATTGGTTTAAAAAATTCCCGCTTACTTTTTAATCAATCAGATGCAAAAACAAAACAAATCGCGTCTTCATTGGTTGCCCGCGTTTTCCCGCGCTTGTTCGTATGTATTTGCTTGGAGTTCTCATTGGTTCGCTGTGTTGTTTACATTTGTTCTGATTGGCCAATGTGATTCCTTTGGTTTTGGTTGGACGACACTCGATTCTAAATTGCTCCGTAGTCTAGATTTTGCATTTCAGGTGTGCGCGGAGTATTTGGCTTGTAAATGTTTTCTTTTGCTAATCAACAAAGCTACAAAACATCAAAGTCACTACAACTGATTCCTTGAAACTTACCTTTGTTTGCGCGGGTTATTTCCGTAATATTCGAACGCATAACTTGCTAAACTTTTTATGGCAATAACAGTTAGCCAAAAATGAACCAAAGCCATGTTGACCTGAACTTTGAGTCAAAATTAAATTGCGTCATAATAGTTGTGTATAGTATCGCGCGCGAGCGAAAGAATACCGCGCCTAAGCGAGAAGATCTGGGTACTAGAACTGATACTGCGCCCCGCAATTTTACGAGCTAATCGTTACTGCCAACTCTCGCCTTTTGAACACCACTTTATTACGGACATCCGCTATTACGGAAAAAATCCAGCCTCCCGGCGAAAGCTATAGAAGTTTGACTGAAAATAACTCCCACTATAATGGACTCTCGTTATTAAGGAATTACTTACAATTTCGTGGCACTGAACCGAGTAACAATTTTTATTGTTTTGACTCTCGATAAAGCAGACAACTTGAAATCCTCATACAACAAATTTATGTATTAACTACAGTCTGCTGTTCGTCATGTCTTAAATTGTATAAACACACTTCCAAAGACTTCGGATTGTGTATTTTCGCATCGATTTCTTGGAATAGGACTTTACCTTTCACTTTTCTTGCGCCTTTTCATTCCAGGCTCTGATTATATTTAACGTCATTTTTTCTCACACCCTGCTATTGCGGACTCTTGCTATTACGGATTCCAAACTATGCCCCGAGGGTGTCCGTTATAATGAGAGTTGAATGCATTTTGCTTCTTGAAAAAAAAAGGAGAGCTATGCCAGTAGCGCACGGATTATTTTAAATACGCCAATCGAAGGTAAGGCGCTTGCGCAGTCAACCAGATACAAGTAAACTGAGTACAGTCGAAGCTCCCTGAGCGGACACTCTCGTAAGCGGACAGCTCCACTTATGGCCGCCTTGATAAAACCCCGTTTGAACTCTCATACAAACTTTGTATGTACACATTCAGGGGCGGATCCAGAATTTTTTGATAGGGGGGTCCCGGGGTTTTTCCCGCAAATGTGAAGTAGATTGAAGGAGAATTTTTGTAAGTAGACGACAGTAGCAAAGGCGTGGAGGGGGGGGGGGGGGGGGGGGTGTTTGGGGGCCTCCCCAGAAACAAAAATGAGATCTCATGCTCAGAAAAGTGCATTTTGGTGGATCCTGGAGTTGGTTTTACCATGGATAATGGAGAAAGCAAAAAGCCTCTAAGGTCTGATAGGGGGTCCGGATCCCCCGACCCTCCCCTGGATCCGCCACTGACATTTCCGTATGCGGCCATTCCTGTAAGCGGCCGCGCACTTTCGAGGGGTACGATCTGGATTTTTCTCTTGCATGTTTCTGAGTTCCCGTAAGAGGACATCCCAAAAGTACAACGATCCTATTAGCGGAAAGCTTATACATTTCGCAGTTATTTTTTTCTGCACTCTGAGAGTCATTAGTTTCACTTATCTTGAGTATCTTAGTAGCATTAAATTCTTTATCAAGGTACATGTGTGAAAAATTTACGGCTGCCTGATCTGTGCGGTCTCGAGCAACTGAGCAATGATGATGATATATACACCGACGCTTTTCTCTCATTTCCATAAGCAGTTCAACTATGATCCGTTATTGCAAACCACTGTTAAAGTTAGTGTCTTTAGCTTGCATTGATTTATCACACTGTTACCTTAATCTCTAATTCAATGAGACAACTTATCATTGTTTGTATACATATTCTTATATTTTCATTTCCTATGTTACTTATATTACTTTATTTTAAGAGCGCATTTGAAAATTCTCAAATTGATATTTGCGCTATATAAATCAATAAATTATTATATTATTATTATTATTATTATACATCTTCACCACCGCGGGGTCCACCGCGGGTCCACCTTAAGGGTCCACCGCGGGACAAATGCTCGAGCATGCGCAAAGGCGTAAATTGCGGTCACCCGCACGCCAATTTCCCGCGCAAAATTTTAATTAAAAGAAAACCATTGCAACAATCCGAAATCAAAACCTTGATAGTAATTTGCGAAAGGAAACAAAAGTAGGTAAAATGAGAAGTTAAGTATATTTACAGCATTACCAAAAGAGTTAGACGTGTTTAAAACACGGTGTAATGTTGAGGTTTGTCGGCGTAGTTTAATTTTGTTTGCATGCTCAGAAGTTTGACCGTAGCCTGCGTGGCAGTTCCCGCCGATCGCGCTTCGCGCTTGCGCCTGAATTCCCCTCATCCCTCCCCTTTCTACGCCTGCCACGCAGGCTTTTTGACCGCGGTGAAGTATAGATGATTTATATCACCCAAACCTTCAATTACACCAAGAGAAAATAATAAAGGAGGATTGTTTAACATGGCTTCCTCTAATTGCCATAAACAATACAAATATGACCAGCATTGGAAAGAAATGATGGTATATTTTTTAACCTAGTTATATGGCCTTAGCTCCCACGAGTCTCCTGTAGCTCAGTGGTAGAGCGTCCGACCGGTGTGCGGAAGGTCATAGGTTCGACTCCTGTTGGGGGAACTCGGAATTTTTTTCCGAGTAGCTTGTGTCACTGACAGAATAATATCTTTCTCATATTTCTGCCAAGCTTAAAATATACCATAATTTCTTTCCACAAATTTTCTATCATCGACAAATCTAATCCTAGCAGTATGCGGGATGGTTGTCACACTTCAACCTAGTTATATGGCCTAATCTCCCACGAGTCTCCTGTAGCTCACGATCAGTGGTAGAGCGTCCGACGGTGTGCGGAAGGTCATAGGTTCGACTCCTGTTGGGGAACTCGGAATTTTTTTCCGAGTAGCTTGTGTCACTGACAGAATAATATCTTTCTCATGACCAGCATTGTTATTTGCTTAAATGCCGATTATCACACCTATAAATACCTTTATATACAATTCAACATACAAACAATAACTGCGGCATCATTTCTGTTATAAAAGCGCGTGTAATTATAGTTCCTCGCACAGTTACAACTCGACGGACGATGAGTGAAAACGGCTGCGAAAACAATCTTACCAAGTCTTGGGTTCCACAATGGCTACTCATCACGGCAATGGTCTTGCAGAGAAGCTACGAAAATGTTGGGATTGCGAGTTTAATTGGGATCTACTACCGGAAAATGTTAAGGGGGTAAGAATCATTTATGACTCAGTTGAGGCTGACTTCCATTATCCTGCGCGCGGGAAAAGTGGTTTTACGCCACATAGCGCGTAGTCTCCTTCGCTGCCGTTAAGAGCGTTGCGCGACGAGCCAAATAACGGCTGCGAAGGAGATTACAGAGCGAGAGACATGAACGCGAAGCATGAAAGCGAAGCGCGAGACCTTGCGCGAAAAATGAAGCATCCCTTCTCCCGTCGCGCGCGTCTTATCTCGGTTTTTCCTGCTCCACAAAGAAAATAATTCGCTTTTCCTGTAGGATAGAGGTTTCAACGTGATCGCTGGCGACCAGAGTTCCTTCATTTTGCAGTTTGTGAACCAAACCTTTCTCAAAGTCTTTCTGCTCCGACAAAGGGCTGACGCTCGAAACTCGAAACGTCAACTTTCAAAATTCGCTACGGTGGTTAATTTATTACCTTTATCAGGCTTCAAGTTTATAATCAATTAAGTGTGTCACTTTCCCGCCGGCGCAGCACAAAATATTCTTCAGAACCTAATCACCTTTCTGAAAGTTAGTTCGTATTTTAGTATGCACTGAGCCGGCACTCGGAACGCGACCCGCCGAGCCTTGATCTTCTAGAACCCGTTGACTTCCATTCGGGCGTCAAACACTTGTATCCGGCAAAACTGTATGTTTATCAATGCCAATTTCTAACCGATAGTTTCAACACTTTTTTCAGGGATGTGTTGGTGTTGCCAGTTTACTTAGCGTGCCGCCACTCGCCATTCTTGTTGGTGTACAGGGACTGCTCTCTTTCGCCATCGCTCACGCTGAAGTGCAGGTCCCTAATACCATGTGGCGAGAACCAGGACTGCTTTGGTTAGCAATCGGAATGCCCACTGGTATGTTATTTAAAGTTGTTGTCTTAAATTTACAGTGGAATCCCGATTTCTCTAACCCTCAATTTCTCAAACATCCCGATAACTAGACTTGCCGCAAGTCGAATTCTTTGAGCGGCGAACGCCGCGAGACGAGAGAAGTCCAAAAGACGTTTCCCTTGGATTTGTTTCACTGTAATTTTACCCCCGATATTTTGAACTTCCGATTTCTCGAACCAATTTTTGTTTCCCTTGGAGGCTCGAGAAATCGGCATTCCACTGTAGTATATTCAATATCACTCAGTTTTGAAAAAAAAATTCCGCGCAGTTATATAATTTTTCAGGAGCAAGAAGCCCGGTTAGCCGAAACTCCACAAGCCTCCAAGGGATGAAACGAAAATTGGTTAAAGAAATCGGGAGTTTGAAATATCAAGGGTAAAATTACAGGGAGACAAATCCAAGGGAAACGACTTTTGGTTCGAGTTATCTGGATGTTTGAAAAATCGAGGAATTTGACCAAAATGCTAATCTCGTTCCCAGATCTCTTTCTCGGCTCGCCAAGCTGAGATCTGGGAACGAGTACGAATGGACGCTTCCCAGAAATCCACGCGCAGTGTTCCACCATAGAATTTGAGAAATTCTTCCAGCTACAGTGGTGAACAGTGAGTGTATAAATATATTGGCACCAGTGAGGAAAGTTTGATTGTTGAGCTTCAAGTCAGTGTCGAGTGTTTCTTCTTTTCTGCGCAGTTTTTATTCTTTGTTTCTTCTTTGGGGCGTAGCCAGGTTTTGTAAACGTTGTAGGCCCGGCCAAGAACATTTTTTTATTTATAGAAAACCCCGGGGGGGGGGGGGGATGTACTGTACTCCCTATAATGGACTATACGGGGAGGCTCCGCCCGAAAGGGGTCCTTTTTTAGGCTGGAGGTATATGAAAGGGTAGGGATTTCACGAGTTGAAGTATAGAAAAGGGTAGGGAAAACTGTCATTTAGGTGTTTAAAAGGGCCTTTCAAAATATCTCGAACAGACGAACCTAACAGTTGATTCATCCAATATTTTAAGGGGCTGCTCAAGCGAAAAGTTTAGTAAAAGTCGTAAAAGGGATGCAGTGTTTCAACTGTAGGTATGTGAAAGGGGTACAATTTTCTATGGAAGGTATATTAAAGGGTAACGGTTTGGACCTCGGGCGGAGCCTCCCCGTATAAAACTTTGTTCAGTACCCCCCACCCCTCCCCTCCTTCGGGGGTAAAAAACTAGCTAAGTCTGTATTTATCCCTTAAAAGCTAATAAGTCTAATAATAGATTGCTGTAAATTTGTATTCCGTATTCCAGCTCAGACACGTCTGTGTGTTGTAAATTTCCTTGAAGCTAATGGGCCATTTACAGTAATTTGAGCTTTTTCCGTCACGGCATTCCGATGCTAAAACTCAGATAAACACAACATTAAAACATTTTGGAACAACAGAAGTTTAATAATATTTGCTATCAGGCACCAGCTATTTTATTCGACCTTGAGTTCCAAAGCGTACACAAGTCACGTAACGTTTGTCAAGGTCAACTTGAAATCAAATCAAATCGGAACATTTTGCACTCTGAAATTACTGTTTAACACGCAGAACAATATGAGTGCTTTGTTATTCGTACCTTAGATTGGGCTTTCTGGATATTGAAGAAATCCATGAGATAAATCTGGAACAACATCTGATGGCTGTATAATTAAATACGGTACGCGGTTTCCAAATTCGTTCAGAGATTGCGTTACATACATTACAGTGGGAGACCGCTGTAATGTTATTTCGATTATGGGCCCCGAGCGAATTGTTTTAATAAACTTATGGAAATTTCACAACTGAAGCCACAATACATTAATTTGATTAACGTCACCGGATTTAGAAATTTTGAAAGAAATTAATCCAGGAGCCTGTACTTACAGGACAAGTGCGACCTAACCATCACCTAACTTAATCATTATAGTAAAAACGTCCAGTGGAGGGGCACTTGGGAATATGTCGACGGCCCTTTCTTGCACTTGTCCTTTGAGGCAGCGTCCTGGATTAATTTATTTCAAAATTTCTAAATCCGGTGACGTTAATCAAATTAATGCATTGTGGCCATTCGGTTGTGAAATTTCCATAAGTTTTTTTAAAAACAATTCGCTCGGGGCCCATAATCGAAATAACATTACAGCGGTCTCCCACTGTAATGTATGTAACGCAATCTCTGAACGAATTTTGAAACCGCGTACCGTATTTAATTATACAGCCATCAGATGTTGTTCCAGATTTATCTTATGGATTTCTTCAATATTATACCTGCCAACTTTTCCTAAGTCGACTGCGTGTGATTTTCGTACCATATTACCCGAATTTCCGAAAAATTTCCGACGACTTCCGAACATTGCCAAAGATGTTCCGACGACTTCCGAACATTGCCGAAGATTCCCGAAGATGTTCCGATGATTTCCGAAGGCTGCCGAATGTCGCGGTGCGAAGCTAAAAATCTCAGCGCCATCTTGCCAAGATCACGCTTATCTCAAACGCGACATTTAGCGCCGTTCATTGGACTATTTTGGGTGGAAATTGAATCCAATTTTTCACGTTAATGGTTAATGAACAAGTAGTCCGGAATTGTGAGTCAGGCGTGTGAAATTGTCATGTATGCGTGTGATCGATGTTTTCGATCCGGAGGCGTGTGACACACGCATAATGCGTGTAAGTTGGCAGGTATACAATATCCAGAAAGCCCAATCTAAGGTACGAATAACAAAGCACTCATAGCTATTGTTCTGTGTGTTAAACAGTAATTTCAGAGTGCAAAATGTTCCGATTTGATTTGATTTCAAGTTGACCTTGACAAACATTACGTGACTTGTGTACGCTTTGGAACTCAAGGTCGAATAAAATAGCTAAATTATTTTATTATTGCCAAAAAGCGATAGCAAATCACAGAAAATAGTCTTGTAACATTTGCTGGTGCCTGATAGCAAATATTATTAAACTTCTGTTGTTCCAAAATGTTTGGACTACGAGTAGTCCCTAATTTTTCTCAGATCGAGTGGGCGTGCGCGCGCAAAGCGCGTGGAAATATCCTCGCGCCTCTTCGCGTCGCGTCTTCTCGCGCGAGGATATTTCCACGCGCTTTGCGCGCGCCCGCCCACTCGATCTGAGAAAAATTAGGGACTACTCGTAGTCTACAAAATGTTTTAATGTTGTGTTTATCTGAGTTTTAGCATCGGAATGCCGTGACGGAAAAGCTCAAATTACACAAAAGTACTACTTGTATTTCGCAGCCTCAAAATTCTTCTTTTAAGTTGCCCATGGTTTTGAAAACAGATTTTAAAAGAAGAAATAATGTTCTTTTATGTGGTATAAGTCTCTATACTCTAGGCTATGTACCAGTCAACGATTTTAGCCTCTCAATTTCGTCAATTTTGCATTGCAAGAAATTGCTTAAAATAATGTAAATAATGAAAAATCTTTCAAATATTCAATTTTAATTCAAATTGATAAAATAACCGCTCAAAATATATCTTATTATCTACTTAATCTGATGAGTAATTTGTTTCTCGGAATAAAATTGTTTTGAGTTTCAAAACAAGGTCTCCACAATGTGTGGTGTCAAACGCCAAAAACCGGTCTGAGAGCTGCCAAACCAAGTTTACCTCCGTATCTCAAAAAAAAATTGCCGGATTGAAGTAAAAATATATTTTTAGTAATAGTTCACCAAGGGCTATCTTGTGAATTTTTTTGAGAATTTTGGTATTTTCCCTATTGTATGCCTCCGGTTGATAATTACAGACATCA